GGGCCGGCCCGCGCGCGCTCCTAGCATGGACAGCGAGGTGCAGCGGGACGGCCGCATCCTGGACCTCATCGACGACGCGTGGCGGGAGGACAGGCTGCCCTACGAGGACGTGGCCATCCCGCTGGTAGGCGAGGCGAGGCCCTAGCCCCCAGCGCGGCTTTATTTGTGCACCGGGCGTATTACCGGGGTGCACCCTCCGGGCTCGCCTCTGTATTCGTATTAATTAGTGTCAGTAATTAAGAACGCCTCCCTCTAGGGAGCTCATTACGTAYTGAGCGCATTGCACCTTTTCTGCTGTTTTCAGAACGAGCTTCCCGAACCCGAGCAAGACAACGGCGGCACGACCGAGTCGGTGAAAGAGCAAGAAATGAAGTGGACGGACCTGGCTCTGCAGTACCTGCATGAAAACGTCCCCCCGCCGGGAAACTAGCTCCCCGAGCCGCGGGGAGACCCGGGAGCTGCTGCTCGGCCCCCAGCGCTGTCCTAAGCAGGAGACGAGGCTGCCGAAACAGCCTTGTGCTCAGTTAACTGTTCCACTCGCAGCCATGGAAGACAGTGTAAATTGCATCTATAATCAATGTGAAATARCTACGGATACCTAAAGCCTCGAAGCTGGTGTCAGCATGTTTCTGTTTACKTAACACACAATTATTTCGTATCTTCTGTTAACTTGTTTTTAAGTTGGTGCTGATTCTGATCTTCGTTGGTTTTCTACATGCAATCAAAGAAATGATTTTTACTGTCGGGAGTTGTTTGTTCCTTGCAAAGCGCACGCYGGGAGCGCCGATGGCTGCGAAGGCCCGTGACCCCAGAAGGATCCCTGTTATTTGGGGGGCTCATTTTAGGAGTTCATTGAGGGGGAACAGAAAAATGGTTTGTTACCATCTTTAATTAGTGGTGAGGGATGTTGTATGGCTGGTTAATAGGAGGAAAGGAGGGGAGATGGAATGGAACGGAGGGGAGTGTGGTGCGAGCTGCCTCGGGATGTGAGGTGCTGGAGGATGGCATGTCCGCAGCGATGTCCTCAGYGTGCCCGCCAGCCTGCAGGCTGCAATGAGACACTCTAATCTGCACTAAGTAGGAGGTCCTTCAAGCCAGTGTATTTGTCCTAATTCAGACAGGTCCCTAGTTCCCTACTTCTTGCATGGGAAGCTGTGAAACTGCTGCCTCCTCCTAGAGACAGCACTCCCAGGAGAGGACAAAGTGGGTTGTTAAAAGGCAGGGAATGAGACAAGTGGCAGGAATATGCAAGGCAGGTGATGAGATGTGCAGCTTCTTACCCCTGGGTTGCTTTTGGCCCACGACACCTATTTTATTAGTTTGCCTGATACCAACCACAGCAGCGACTCAGCTCATGGAGCTAAAGGTGCCTTTCCCACAGCCTTGTCCAGCAGGGAGGGTGTTGCCTTGCACCCCACTGCCTAAAAAACACACAGCTTCTGCCCAGTCCAAGAGGCACAAAGCTGTTAGGAGCATGGAAGGGAGGAAGCACRTGGGGCCAAGCTATGGCTGTTGTTACCTCTTTTTATGCAGAGAAGGCAAGGGCCTCTGTGTTCCTTCTCCCAATTTCTCTCTGCTTCTCAAGTGTCTTTTGCAATCAGCAAATTCGTCTTGCATGGTTCAGTGTTGTTGGACTGATTCCTTCACACCACTGGCATGACTTGCTAAAAAAATATTTTGACAGAGTTTAGGATTAGTAGTAGAGAAATTGAGAAAGGGTTTGGAAGAAAAACAAGATTTGAAATAGTTTTGCTTTGCCAGTGCATCAGGAAAAGAAAATTTAAAAAGAAAAATTTCCTTGAACTTACAGCTCCCAGACTCCATAGGAGTTTTTCTCCCATAGGTGTCGTAGGACTCCTGGGGTTTCCTTTCTCAAGTGCTTATCCTCTTGAATCTGATCAAACCCCAACTTCAGCCTGTGTGAGTACATGGTGGAATCGCAGTTCAGCGCCTGGCCTGCAAGCCGGGGATGGCCGAGCTGCACGAGGAGGACACAGGCAGAGCCGCGCTGGGTGCCCCCCGCTGCCGGCGGCACGGGCAGCGTGAGCATCGGGCAAGCGGCACCCGCTTCTCCCAACTCAAAGCAGCTACAAATCGGGATTAACCCAAGAACTAGCAACATCAGGAAGCTTAATGTGCCCAGCGCAGGACGAAGCAGCAGTTATGCAGGTGCAAACCCTAACGGGAGCTCCTCAGCTGACCTGCACCAGCAGAAATGGGAGGTGCCACCTATGTTCAATAAGATGGTTCTGATCCTCCCCACATTCCTCTTTGCTGGCACAGGTTAGAAGAATTTGCAATTAAAACATTAAGCAAAGCAGCCACAACCAGTTATAAAACACGTGGAGCAGCTTCTGTCCAGCAGCTCTCTCTACTCTGTCTCCTTTCTCCCCTTCCATGCCATTCGGATTTTCCCAGTTTTGTCCTTAACTCTTCCAGCTCCGATTCTGATGCCMTTTTATGCCTTTCCATTCGTCATCCTTGATCTCCCACACCACAGGGAAAACACCACTTCTTGCTCGGACTGTATCCATGTGGTTCCAGCAGGGATGCCAGATACATGAACATCACCCTGGTGGCAGTTGCTGGCCAGCCGAAAGGGACACACGAAAGGGACACAGAATTGACACTTGCACCTTCACTTGGTCATAACACAACGTGGTCGCACCTGCTTTCCACCTGAGATCACGGATTTGAAAACACGGACACTGTTGGGCCCCAKGCCTTAGGAGAGAGCCCGAGGGTAGGAGAGTCCAGGGGACAGGGAAATGAGGGGGAACATCCTCATTGCTCCCACCTGGGGAGCTGAGAACCCAAGTGCTGGCCCTGCCCAGATGGGTATCAGGTGAGCGGTACCACCTACGTTCTCTGCTGCCTTTGGCATTCTTTGCCAAAGACAGACCTGCAATAATTTCCTTAATTTCGACACATCTATTCAAAGTGCTGTTTACAGTATGTTACCAAACCACTTGTGTCTTTGGTTAGTCACTGCCCAGGGCAAACCATATTTCAAATGAGGAATCCTGTTAGGAGAGATGGTGCCTCACCTCTTTTTTAAGCAGTCGCTTTGGGTGTATAACGCGAGACTGGCCTCAAGTCCTTGCCTGGTGACTTCCTCCTTTCACCACACCTACTGTTGCAGAAAAATAATATAGCAACTCRTTCCTGAGACACCTACTCATCCTAAAGAAACAGTGGCAGCCCTAAAACCTTTTGCCGGCAGAAGTTCCATGTGGAAGGCCGTATGCTGAGGCTGTGCATCATGCTCATCTACCTTTCAGGGGGGGTGAAAACAGGTAGGAAACCAATCATTTGCTTTGAATATTTTTGTCAAATAAAACATGTTTTCTGGGYTTTGCTGAAACATTAACATACCCTCTGCAGTCATTGTAAAGGTTCTGTGAAGGGTTTTTCGCTATTACTGTTTATCTTGGCAAAGCAAACTATACTGCTTGTATGAGTGCAATCCAATTACAAAACTACAAGTCCTTTTTATTCTCTTTTCCTCACTTTGCAAACATTCCTCTTGCATAAATACTATACAATTACCCTGAAAATGTGGTTTGAAATACTCAGAGAAGAACCATTTCTTGTCAGCAGTGTCTTCTACGACCAACATGAAGGACTTCAGAGCGAGTTTTGCAAAGGATAAATCGGCATTCATAAACACATAACTTCATTTGATATCCTCCCAGCCCCATCGAGAATAATTCTGTATAGTAATAAACAAATGTACTGCCTTCTGTTAGCGGACACATGGGAGCAAGTTGCTCTGTTAGTCATGTTACAGTTCTGCTTTGTAGGGAAAACACACAGGATGGAAAACAAAACAGAAAACACGCAGTATTCTTAGAAGTACTGACTAGCATTTCATTTTTGCGTAGTTTGATGGTTATGCAGTAGGAACTGCAGGAAAAGGAAATGATAGAAGAGGATTGTGTGAAAAGGCACCAAAAAACCCGGTGAGATAATAAAGAGTGTACAAGAGGTGGGAAGAGAGGGCTAAGATATTAGAGCACCTTTTACAGGAAATTAGCATTTGCCATCCTATGTTATACATAAGGAAAACGAGCAGAGGGAGACGCATAAATTGCCTGGGGCTGTCCAGCAAGCTGGTGGCCAAGGCAGGGCTGGGAGGAAATTAAGGGGACACTGCTTGGCTCCCCCCTCACCTACTTGTTTGCTGGTAGAGCTGATCACAGCATCCTGCCTCATCGGAGCTCCTGGCAGGGCTGGAAAGACCCTGCCAGCCTTTGGGGGAGCGTTYGCCGTTGCTGCCAGGGCGAGGAGCAGGGCCAGCAGAAGCAGCTGTCCGCATGTGCCAGTTTTCCTACCGTGTGCTGGAGGAGCCTGGGATCTGCACCAACCTGCCAGGAGAGAGGCTGGCAGGTTCCCCCACAATTAGCAGTGACCTCATTTTGTTAATCAAAATAAATGTAAAACACTTGGTACAGATTCCACAAGGCTTTTTAAACCCTTCCTGTGGTAGATATGAGCAAATGCCAACCAGGTCCTCAAAATCTCTGCTTTATGTGAAGGTTTTGGCTGCTCTGGTGACTACCTATTCCCCTGCAAGTCTCCCTGCACAGTGCAGGAGCTATAGGAACAAATGAAGCAATGAGTGCAATCTCACACCGCGTAGGAGTAATTCTTGCCTGGCATTTCTGCCTGCATTTCTACAGCTTCGGTGGTGGTAAAGATGATTAACAATGCTCTACAATAACACTATGCAATAACTAAACCAATGTCTAGTTATTAATCAAAAACAAATATAACTGTATTTTTTTAATGTTACACTAGTACTAGAGGAGTGTCACTGAGAGCGCTGTGTAACACAGAATCCCAGAATGGTTGAGGTTGGAAGGGACCTCTAGAGATCATCTAGTCCAACCCCCTGCTCCAGCAGGGACACCCAGAGCACAGGGTGACATCCGGGTGATTTTGGAAGACCTTCAGAACAGGAGACTCCACAGTCCGCCTGGGCAGCTTCTTCCAGGGCTCTGGTACCCTCACAGTGAAGAAGTTCCTCCTCACGTGGAGATGGAACTGCCTGTGTTTCAACTTACACCAATTGTCCCTTGTCCTGTCACTGGCCACCACCAAGAAGAGTTTGGCCCCCTCCTCCCTATGTTCTCCCCTCAGGTACTTACACATATCRAGCAGATCCCCTCTCAGCCTTCTCTTCTCCAGGATAAACAGGCCCAGCTCGCTTAGTCTCTCCTCATATGAGAGACGTTCCAGTCCCTTAATCATCTTTGTTGCCCTCCACTGGATCCTCTCTAGAAGCTCCATGTCCCTCTTATACTGGGGAGCCCAGAACTGCACACAATATTCCAGGTGTGGCCTCACCAGAGCTGAGTAGAGGGGCAGGATCTCATCCCTTGACCTGCTGGCAATGTCCTCTTGATGCAGCCAGGAGCCCATTGGCCTTCTTGGCCACAACGGCAATTCTGACTCATGGTTAACTTTTTGTCTACCAGGACTCCCAGGTCCCTCTCCGCGGAGCTGCTTTCCAGCAGGTCTAATCTGTACTGATGCCTGGGGTTATTCCTGCCCAGGTGCAGGACCCTGCACTTGTCCTTGTTGAACCTCATGAGGTTCCTCTCTGCCCAACTCTCCAGCCTGCCCAGGTCCCTCTCAATGGCAGCACAGCCTCTGGAGTGTCAGCTGCTCTACTCAGTTTGGTATTGTCCATGATAC